ACGCAGCCTTCCCAAACGTCCCCCGCTTCGCCAGAAGCCTGGGAATTAACACCAGGAGTGAAATTGCCCGACTTTTCTGGATTAGCGAGTCAGTAACTATTCCATTAAGGGAGAAGCAATTTAGATATTTATAATTTATCTCTTACCCGCGATATTTCAATGAATACTTCTCTTCTAAATAGGTTTACTTTAATCCAACGGTTCTCCCCTTCTGGCTGCAAAAAGGGATTATGGAAAAAGAAATATTCACAGATAACAAATAGACTGACAAAAGACAAATATTTGCCCCTATCCCCAGGAGATATTTGCAGGCACTGGTGCGGTTCCACCTGCCCGCAGCCGCCTCGCACAGGCTCCGCGTTCATTTCGTGGTGCCGCTGGCAGCAAGGTGCAGGAGCGAGCCCCTGCCCCGGGCTGGGGGCAGTGAGTGGGCTCGGTATCGGGCCTGGCAGAGCTAGCAGGAGGGCTAGGAGCTCACTTTCACAAAAAAACATGAGCTGGGCTCGGTTCTGGCCATGGCGTGCCCGGTGCTGGCGGCACGGCCCTCAGGCAGCCCCCATGGCGAGATCCCAGTGGCTCTGAGTGCTGCTGCCCTCGCACATCGCCTGTGCCGTGCAGGGCCCTCCATGTGTCCTGCTCCCCATCCTCCCCGTTCTCCTTCTCTCTGCGCCGTCCAATCCATCAGCTGAACAATAGCTGCGTTTGTTTCTGCAATAAACCTGTAATTGCCTTAAAATGAATTTTAATCCACTGCTGGCTGAGCTGCAAATGAAGTGATCATACGCAGCCCAACATCTTAACCACGGCTCTGTTGAGGGATTTTTGGTGATTCTGCGGAGGTGCTGCGCGCTGCAGAGCGCTGCCTGTTTGCCTCCCCGCTTCTTTGCATTTCATTGCAATTCATTACCGGAGAACCTCTGTCTTGAAATATTACAAAATCAACCTTTAAGATCCTCCTGGAGCAGCAAGATAATTACGGTGGGTCGACATTATCCTTCAAGGCAGAAAGCACCTTCCCCTGAAGCCATCCCCGCCGTCTGGGACTGCCAGGAACGGGCCCTAATGGTGCGCTGCTGCTCTCAGCCCTGGTGGGCTGCTGGGGGAGACTTCACCTTCTGGTGAAACCTAAATGGAGAAAATCTCATCCATCCTGCACTGGGACGGCCCTGGCCTGAAGGGAAGCGAGCAGAAACGCTCCCGTTAACCTCACCCCGATTTCCCCTGCCGTGAAATTGGGCACAGGTCGGTGCGAGGTGCCCACGTGGGGTCTGACGGCAAAGGGGGGGACGCGCTCCCTGCTGTCACTTTAACAAAAAACCAACAGATTTAAACTTGCAAGGTGTGCAGATGTTTAGGATAAAAGCAGCAGTCCTCTTCTGCTGGATCATAAACCGGGAGCAGCCCTACGGAGGTGAATAAATGCCTGTTTAAAATCCGTTACTTCAGTAAATAAAGGTCTGCCCTCCCCACCCACCCCCGTTTTAAGCTACCCTTGCAAATTGGTTTCCAATTTACAGAAATCAATTAAAATCACATATTCTAAATGCAACAACCAACAGTGATCTTCCCGTAGATGTCATTCAGCCTTCATTTTAAAAACAGAATCAACATTCAAAAAGCTGTGCTGCTGCAGCAGAAAGTTTCACCTTTTAATTTTTCATACAAGATTAATTTTTAATTTTCAGACATCAGAGATAGAGGGAAGTTCCCCAGGAGCCCTCCTGTTCAAAGAGCACTCCAGGCAACTATTGCCATCAAGTGTCAATTTATCACACTGAAGGCTCGGACTGCCTGATGCATATTTTTCCCGATATTTTTTAAGACAAAAGTAAGATTGTTGTTAAAGTTGTGGTGTTTGCTGAAGGCCAGGCACAGACGGGACAGACTCACAGGCCTGTGAGCTGAGCCTTGCTGCATTTCGGAGCGCAGTGAGCGGTGATCAGCACCCAGCCCCCCTGCTGCCACCGTGAAGTCAGGGATTCAAGCTGCAAGAGATGAAGTTTGTACGAGAGAACTACAACACGTGCAGGCGTGGAAACTCAGCACGCCAGGACTAAGGGAAATGCCTGGATACGAAGGCAACTGTGGGGTTGGTAGCTCCATCTGGACAGGTTTTTGAGACCAAATTCAGCCCGCTCCAAAGCACTGGTGGCCTCCTGGCCGTGTCCATCTCCACACAGAGAGATGCCTTGCTCCCCACGCGGCGCTGAGACCACCAGGCAGATAGATGCCTGCCTGGTGAGCACAGGCACATCCAGAGGTGAGCCTGGAGTGAGCTTCTGCCAACCCTTTCGCACAGTTAACCTGCTTCATGCGAAGAGCACCGCGTCCTTGCCATCCACGGCACATCGTGTTGGGAACGGGGCTCTCCAGCGCCTCAATCTGCTCCACCCCAGCCCCGCTGAGCTCGGCCGTGCCCCACGGCACGGCGCTGTCCTGGTGCCCGGGGCAGCAGAGCCCATGCGCAGCCCTGCCCGTGTGTCTGGGAGGCCGGGATGCGTTTGGGTGAATTTCTGAGTCAGCTGCGAGGAATGCTGATGGGCCGCAAGACGCAGACGCAATGTAAAACAGGAACATTACGCTGTTTGGAAAAAATCCGGGATCGATACATTTGATGTAGTTTGCACTGACCTCAGTGGTCTGCATCTTCAAATAGCTTTGTTTTTACGCATGACTGACACGCTTTGAAGAGGACAGAAGCCAAACGCACACCCTTGCAGTCAATCTGTGCCCTGCAGCTGGCAGGCTGGGCACCCCACACCCTGCTCCCCGCGGGCACCGGCAGGCTCCGGAGAGCGGCCGTGGGGCTGGCAGCATGGGGAGGCCTCCCCCGTGCCTCATGTGCCTGAAGGGAGCAAACTTGAAGTGTCCGGTGCAGTTCCGCTGCTTCCTTTTTCTCCTATAAATCTCAGGAGGCTTCTCATTTCCAGTATCTTCCTCCCAATCCCACTAATTAGCGCGCAATCGCTACCGCCCCAGTTCAAGCAGAATATTGTGTGACAGTTCGGAGGCAATCATGCATACGCAATTAATAATGTAAAAGTACATCGCTCCTTATCTCCATCACCTTCCCCCGTATTGGCTCCTCTCCCCCAGCCTTAATGCATGCTCTTTTAAGCTGGAAAAGAGAGCACCTCCGCATTTGATCTCTTCTGACTCTCCCTCCGCCTCTGCGCCTGTGTGTCCAGAGCTGTCCGTCAGCCCGTCCCCGCTGCCCGCCGGTCCCAGCCCCCTGGAAATGCCACTGACCGTGCCCTCCCACCCTGATCAGCACCCCTTAACCCTCAACACTTCCCCAGGTTGTGTTCATCAGGCCATATTACCCTTGATGGACTTTATCCCTCCAAATCAAAGCTGTGGTTTTACTCCTAGCGCCAGGATGGGGACTTGCGCTCCTGGCCAGTGCGGCCACGGCACCGGGGGGCACCGCTCCTGCCCCGGATCGTCCCTCGCTGGGGACAAACCCAATGCCCCACTCGCTTGCCATGGGGACACCCAAAGCACCATCGGGTGCGCGGTCATGGCCACCTGCACCCGGTCAGAGCCGGAGCAGAGCCTGGGAGCAGCGGCGCAGGAAGGGCCGCAGAGCTGCTGAGCGTTTGGTGTAGCGCTCGAGAGCGCAGCCAGATATTAAATTATCAAAAAAATGATGCTGCATAAATGAAAAAAATATTGATCCTTTTGCATCAAAATGCAATCATGCCAAATCAAAAACAATTAATGTCCCCGAATGCAGATATATAGCAGGAAATAGGCACGCACTTTTTATAGGCAAATTGCTTAAGGTACAGTACAGGCTCTGGTATATTTTCATTTCTATTAAATGAGGAGACTGCAGCTCCGAGCTCCCTGGGTTCACTACATTTGAACAGATCTACGCACAAATCAAACAGTTTATATTTTGCGAAGTAAACAGCAAAAACCAGCACATCTAATTTTTGAAATTCTTCTGGCTTTTCTTTTTGACCTTTGGTATTTGTGCGTATCGATGCTCTCTAAAGCGTTGCACAAAAACACCTTGAAGTGTCAAGCTTTAAAAATGAGTCTTCTTTTCTCTTTCTCCTGTGCAGCTTGGATTATCTTGGCCTTGTCAAAATACATTCTCTAGTTAGAGGTTGGAAATATTTCCCTCCTGGCTCCTAGGTATTGATTTTTCACCACTCAGCTCTGCTGTCAGCCAGCGAGGGGAAAGGTGAAAGTTCGCCCAGCGCTGCCTGGCTTTGCCCCCCGCCAGCGCCGTGCCCCTCCGTGCCGGATCCGCGCCGGCATCCCCGACAGAGCTGCTACCGCCTGCATTTCACCTGCAAGAAAACCCCGGGGCCACGGGTATTTTAACACATTCGTGCACTGTGAAAATGGAAGATTCACCCAATTCTTGTTTCTTTTTTTTTCTTTTTTTTTTTTTTTTTACTTGCTTTGTTCTGAAGGGCTGTTCGGTGATGTCTGACCTCAGACCCGCCCGTGGTGCGCCAGCACACCGTGGCACGCACCCCCGCCAGCCCCAAGCTGCTCAGGCTTCTCGCACAAATAAAACCAATTGCAATCAAAAAAAAAAAAAAAAAAAAGAAAAAGAAAGTGTGTATTGTAAATTCCAACCCAAATGCATATTAAATGCACTTGGCAACCCTGCACTCCTCGCTAGGAAATCTCAGTGTTTAATTTGTGTTAATCAGTTTCTCTGGAGGAATCTGAACCGAATACAAGGAAGTATCACCTTGTGAACACCGATGTTGATGAATTTCTGGAAGACTCCAATTCCTTTGTTTGCTTTAGCTCCGTTGTGTCGGGAATTGAGAACTTTATTCCCGGCACCTTCCTACCTCCACCTTTTGCACCGAGGGCTCTCAGTGCCTCCTGCGTGACTGATGGAATGCTACTTCTGGTCCTCAAATGAAAAATGTATTTCTTGAATGGTGAAAAAACTCCAGATTACTGGCTCATAAAACAGGTGCAGGAAATTATCTGCGTGCCATGAGGCTGATGCCACGACAACAACACTCTTCAATACAACTCAGTTTTATTTCCCAAGCATATTTACACCAGGTTGTTCAATACATACAGCAGATGGGGAGTGGATTCAGAAGTTGCTCGGGAGGCAGCCACTTCCATCATTTCCCATGGATGGTGACTTCCATCATTACAACATTTTCATACAGGTGTCTCATCATGTCATCTTTTGCTTGTAAACTGCCAGCGAAGCCACATACGTCTCCACGTTTACAAGGACAAGTCCAAATACAGCACTAACAAATCAATAGAGCACTAAGAGCTTACACCGCAATGACAATACCGATTCTGCAGCGGTGCTGAGAGATGGGGGCTGCGAGAGAAGAAGTTGGGGACTAGGGCTAACGAAGTCACCGAAGCAGGGGGTGTGTTTAGGCAGGTAGTTGTGTTCAGGCTGCAGAGGACCCTCAGGTGCTGCGGGCTGGGCGAGGACCAGAGCGAGCCCGGTGCCCTAAGACGGGTGCTGCGGGCTGAGGATGCTCCTCCACCAGCGGACCGCTCACCGTCAGTGCCCCTGCGGCTTGGTGTGCAGGGCTGGCAAGCACACGGCTGCCTCTGCCTTGCACTTCAGAAAGCCCATTACACTCCTACCCCAAAACAAACACTTTAATGCATAGATCATTCAAGGTGTTTGCTCGCTACACCACAAAGGGAATCACTGCAGGGCTACAGCCCGCTGTTCCCCCCGCGGCCGCAGTTTGTTTCTGAAAGCAAACACACACACAGGTCGTGAGATCTGCCCGAAAATAACGGTGGCGTCGGATCCTGGAACCCCTCTGGGTGTGCTTACAGAGCACCCTAACGCCTCCCTCACACCCCCACACCGAGCGGGACGGCGCTGCAGCCCACAGATGGGAGCCTGGCAGCTCTTTTTTGCTTTAATCACTGAGGTTACAGCTACAGCTTTATAAACACAATGTACATGCACCTTGCATCAGTTCACTTCGAAAAGACCCTGATATTCTACGACAGAGTTCTCTACCAAATTCTACATTCCCGCCAGATACAAAGAGTAAATTTTGCGGCAGTTTGTGTTAAACATTCCTAATGGTCTTAATTTTTAAATTTTTAAACAGCAAACAGATATGTAGCTTCTGGACTGTAAACCTCACTTCCATATACAGTGTACTACACAGACCACCTAAAATAAAATTAATAATAAAAAAAAAATCAATGCTTTTTAAATTTAGAAGCCGTTTTAAAAATTAATTTATTCCTTTTGGGGAAGGGAGGATTCTATGAGTACCATTTTTACTTTATCATGTAAAGACAGCCTTAGTTCTGTGAGCTTTTCAGACAAAAATGGCAAAGAAAAAGCTATACAAACATATACATCAATATGTTTAAATAAAATAGTATTTCATAGATTTTTTTCTTTACTGTGAGCATAAACCAGCATACTTTCACACGATTAAATATTTCATAAAATTAGATATGTAAGAAGGAAACACAGTCACAGCGAACGTTACATAGGAATATTCCTACCGAGGGAACTGTTCCCATACATCCACTCAAATAACTTACCCATTTTTCACAATTTTTGTGCCGGACTCGCTACCCACCAGTGCCATTTGTGCTGTTTGCCCCGGTGTCTCGGCGAGGCCAGCCCATGCAGCACACAGCCTGCCTTCCCACAGGGCCCAGCACAAACGGGAGCGGCTTTTGGAAGAAAAAAGCTTTTTTTCTCTCTCCTTTTTTTTTTAAATAAATACCTTCACTGGTAGCAAAAAAACACCTTTATATATAAATACTCCTCTGTTCAAGTTTGCTATTCTATCTTAAAGAGATTTTGTAATATTTACACGTGGGTTGTTACTCTTTCTTCCAGCTACAGCAAGCGATGATGAGCACAGCAGCACTGCCGGGGCACCCAAACCTCCGTCCCTTCATGGTCCCGACCCCGAGCCCATCAGGCCCTCACCAACAGGCCCTAAGGGGCGTCACCCAGCGATCATTCAGTAGTCACGAGCAGAAAGTCCATGTAAACACAGCCTTTTTGGGAAACACTGAGGGTCCGCCGGCGGGTTTCGGGATGCTGCCGCCTGGGCTCGGCCCCCAGTGAAGGAGCGCGGGGTGGTGCCTGCGGCCGCTGCCCAGGCCTCAGCGTGACCGCGTGTCCTGCTGCTGCTGCTCCGGGAGCTGGGACATCCCCAAAAGCCATCCATCCTCCCGCTGCTGTGGGGAGAAACCACCCCGTGTCCCTGTCCATGTCCATAGGCCGAGCCGCCGCGGCCTGGCCGGTCCGTGAGGCGCTGAGGGGCGCTGGGTGTGTGGAGCACAGAGACGAAGGAAGAGGGAGAAGGACAGGGAGGTCGGGGACAGCGCTGTACTTGTGGCTTCCCCTAGACCATGAAGCGGTGCTCCTTGCCGTCGTGAGCCATGAGGATGACGTTGCGGTTGGAGGTCCAGATGAGGCGGGCCAGCCGCAGCGCGTTGTGCGAGCCGGGGGAGGCCGGCTGCACGGGCGGCACCTGGTACGTCTTGATGCAGCGCAGCTGAGGCGCCGAGTTGAGCATGCCGATGCTGCCCAGCAGGGACGTGTTCATCTGCAGAGACAGCCCCGTGGCACCCCCGTGGCACCCCAACACCAGCGGGGAACCCACCTGGTGCCCACCGCCCTGCCCTGCCCGCCCACACCAGCTGTAATTAGCGCTCGTTAGGCAGGGCCAAGCAACGCTGTTCAATGGGAGAGCAGCCGAAAGGCGACCACCCGGTATAGCCAGCACCATCTTTACAGCTACCCACCCCTGCATCCCCCCAAAACAAGAGAAAGGTGACTGTATATGACTAGAAGGAATACCAGTGACAGTCACGAACCTGTTAAAACTTCCCTCCTGTGCACGGGACTCAGTGAAGTTTAGCCATCAGTGACCACTTCATCTCCCTGCTTTGCCCATGTAATTTTTTTTCTTAGCATTCTCCTCGACTGTCTCTTTTTCAAATAGAATGGTGAGATCGGAATCAATAAGCTAGCTAGGAAAATTGCATAGCTTATTCGGTATGGTGAAAAGTATCACTTCTACTTTATTTGTATGGCTGTGTTATTGAAGGATTTTTTTTCAAAATTTAAGGAGAAACATGAAATGTTAATAAGCAAATGTTAAATATGAAGAGTTTTATTCTTTTCTGGAAGAAAAACAAACCATTCAGGAGAGGTTCCCTGCATTGTGCTCTCAGGAAAGCAGGCCAGTTACTGATGCACGCTGCCTAGCTCCGTGTTTTAAAAACGAGATTTGCTGCTCTAGCCCACCAAGACACAGAAACCACTACTCCTTCCAAAGCCCTCCTCTGCAAAGCCTTCCCATCCCTACGCACGGCAATCCGAGGATTTCCACAGAGCGCCTCGCTGTGTCCCCAGGCTGTGCCATGCACAGCCCTGGGACAGGGCAGGCGCGGTGCTGCTGCTGCCACGCTCTGAATTCTGATCAGGACAAAGTACAAGCCATTACTTTTTCCTGGCTCTTCTCAGCAGCAGAATGGTGTCAGAGAGTGTAAATCATGGCATCTCTAGCAGGGAGCATGCAAGCACCACTGACATTTTCACAATTTAAATCATCTTGAGTAATAACCCTTTTAAGATGACTAATGTTACTGATTTTCCTGCATTAATAATAGTGCCAAATAGAACACAGAAGGGAAAAAAATCACTAGTGCACGAGGTCACATTTTAAAACTAAATGTGTAGGTATATTTAACTCTTTATGTAAAAGCCACTTGAACGCGAGCATTTATACACCTGGAAGAATGTGGCAGCTCACAATTTAAAACACGTGCGTGCCTGATTTTTTTTTTTCCTGCCAATTTTACAAGATCTGGTCTGATTGCTTTCCAGATTTTCCCTGAGCACTTCAATTGAATAAATGTAACTGATGGGTGAAGATTCTCGCTGTTCTCATTTACTGTTTCAGAAAGCACACAGTGTAATGAGGGATAATAATTTAATAATTATTATGGCACCTGTAGAACTAATGAATGGCATCAAAACGAGGGAACTACGTTAACGACTCGCTGGTAATTATGGGAATACTGAGTTCTGCTTTATAGTCTGATTACTGCAAAACTACATTATTTTGATAGTCTGCACAAATTGCTTGTTCAGATCCATTTTGAAGTCTAAAGCCATTTGAAGGAAGAAAAAAATGCTACCTAGGGAATGTAGGCAGCAGTTAAGGCCTCTTCTGGGGTAATCTGTCCCACCAAGCTACGTGTTTATTTATCTCCGATTAACAAAAATACTCCTACTGACATGAGATCACACAGACAAGAAGAACTGCTGATGTTAAAAAAAAAAAAAAAGATAAACGGTCTAGATACTTCACAAAATGGTGGTCTGATCCTCAGCATCTCCCATTTCAGCCCCTTTTCGTATTGCCTCTCCCCCAGTTTTCCTGTTTCCAGCCCTATTATGAAATGGAAGGCAGCCCCACAGCACAGTGCAGCTCCCCGACGGCACGGCACGCGGGCTTGAGGCACGGCAGCTGTGGCTGCTGAGCAGCAGCGGGACCCGTGGCCACCTTAATAGCTCTGCATCGTGTTTAATAAAAAACAGAATGGAGAAATGCCGTGAAGGTCTTCATCTACGGGAATTTATGAGATTAGAGAAGAAAAATGCCTACTGATAGGGATGGGACCGAGAATGGGAGCACAAGCACCTGGCCTGGCCTGCTGAGAACTCGTTGGGGCTCTCCTCCATGGCCCTAAATCTCATCGGGTGGATGCTTTAGGAGTGTGAAACCGAACTGTTAGGCTCCCAGGAACAGTCCTTACCTGCCAGAAGGAGAGGTGGCTGTCGGAGTTGGAGTAGGTGGCGAGGTACCGGCCGTCGGGAGCAAACGCCACTGCAGTTATGGGCCCTTTGTGACCGTGGATCGTCTGGCGAGAGGGGAGAGAACAGAAGGCGAGAGCGTTTGTTACTGCGCCACAGCCATGCCCAACAGACTTGCAAGTAAAAAAGGCAACAGCAGCTGAACTTCTGGAAAAAGACCACTACAGTCAGGAAAAAGCAAACAGGGTGCCTCTTCCCCCTGTTCCACAATTGTAGCTTTGGTCTTGAATCTCATGTATGACACGTATGATAGTGAGGACTGAGTACAGGGCTACACACAGGTTCTGCTGTTTTTTTTTTTATTGTTTTGTTCTGTTTGTTTATAACTCACAGGAACACATGAAGTTTTCTCGTTGAAAATATCATTTTTTACCGGATTATCACGAAGAAAACACCAGTGACACACGCGCAAACTACTGCTTGGTAAAATATGCAGTGGCTGCTCCTTCTGCACGAAGAGGAAAAAAGACTTTGCAACATTCATCGACAAAAACTAGACCATGAAAATAAAAGCATTCCCCCTGCAGCCAGCTCCTGGACACTAGAAGTAGCTCCTGGACCTACTGAGTTGGCATGCTGCTCCTAAAGCTAGGCTGATATTAATAACCCGTTAATATATTTATTTACTGCTTATCACGTACAAGTTGAGTGAAGTCAAACGGAATCCCAAACCCATGTCTTTAATGTAATCACCACAGTGTAGGATGAAGATTTGAAAGGGCAATTAATTAGGTGATCCACCCTTCAGACCCATCAAACTGTGCAGCACTTAGCAAGCAAGTAATACTTGTCAATAAAAAATGTTTTGGTAATACAAAGGTGGAAAATCAATAGTACTAGCACACTTGTTGCTCTTTTTACTACTGAAAATGTGTTCCAATAAGTACAATCCTTAGGGGAATTAACGTGCTTTGTTATTTAAAGCGAGTGCCTCTCTAATTGATGCTAATCCTTTCAAGCCAAGATTTATTTTTTAGTGCGCTATCTAAATGTGTACTTCGCAACGCTCATCTTCTGTTTCTTAGGCAAGCGAATAAGCATAACAAAACCAAATTATTGCTGCTCATTCAAAATATTCCGCTTGCACCCATCCCTTTGGAGTTCAGGCTTGGCTTAGGGCAGCAGTGCTTCGGCAGCACCACTTCTAGGGCAATGACATTACGCAGTTTTCCTGCTCTGATGTAATTATATTTTATAAAAGTATGCAAAAATCTGTGCAATATTGGTTAGGAAACGCTCTCAATTTTGACCGGCAGGCGGGGTGGGACAAAGTGCAGCTGCTTGTAGTTTCCCGCTGCCCAACCAATTGTTTTTTAATGGGAGGACGCTCCTGGGAGACTATTTGACTTCTGCACCTGCCACCGCCGCAGCCCTCCACCACATGATATACTGGAGCTATGACAGCCTCATTCCGAGCCCAACATTCAGCAAACTCCACGCTGGACTGCATTATTCTGTTAAAGGTGACATAAAAAATAAGTACTGTATCACCGCAGCGATTTGATTTTAATAAATACACCGAAATGCATACTTTAAATTGATAAAGTAACTTACACACCGCTGGAGAGACACAGCAATATTCCGCCACATTTATTATTAGATATTTATCTCCCCGGTCTCTGGGGGTACCTTAACTAAAATGAAACAAACACAAAATCACTTAGTGGGAAAGCGGCGTGCCTGCTGCACCCCCCAGAAGCGCTGCCCTCGAACAAACCGAGGCTCTCACGGCCGAACGCCAGCCTCACAGCGATCCGCCAGCTTTAACTGGGAATGGTGTGAAAGCGTTGCTTCCAGTTTTTGAGTGGGAAACAGCCTCTGCACAAGGAGTGCTTGCTTGAAATTAAGGAGATGACTCTGTAACTGCTGCCCTGATCAGAGATGAGTTGCTGAAAGTTTAGAACTGATATTATCAATAGATAAAGGTAGGTCTGATAGATCAGTCTCTCCTTTTATTTTTAGCATCATGGGACTAACTCTGTGTCATGCAAATAAGAGTTTTGCTTTTTTATATAATTTAAATTAAAAATTTGAATTGGAATTTGAATGCTAGCAAGGGGTACAAAGACCCGTGGAACACACACGGAGCCCAAGCTGCACAGGGAAATAAATACTGCTCTTGGAAATGAAGATAAAGCTGGCAGAGCTGGGCAGGGAGCGCACACCAATAAATACTTACAAAGCCTGCTGTAAGAGCAAAGGAGCCATCACAGCTCCGCATCTGCTCCTGGTTTCAGACACAGAGGAGACGAACAGCACCTCAGCAAGGCAGCACCGTGCTATGCCCAGGTCGCATTTTTCTTTTCTTTCCCTGGTTATTTTTATTTTTCTCCACCTCGCGACCATCGCCACTCTCTCTTTCCATGTATAATCACAACGTGAATTCAGAAGGACTGCGTTGTACACAGCCCACGTTGAGCGGCTGGTTTCCCAAACCCTGCCAGCTTTGGTCTAAGCTCAGCTGGAACAAGAGCGTGCCCGATAAAACCTTTCTTTCATATATTTTTTTTTCAATTGTCCTTCAAAATCCAAGCACACGAGATGTTCCCAGATCGCAGTCTGTGTGTACACACTGAGGACATTTTATAAAAACACAGCTAGCAAAACTAAAGAGCTTCACCTGAACAGCTAGGTGAAATACCATCTCTCTTCCCATCCCACATATAAATTCTTCCATGATGCCCCTTCAAAGGCTTTCACGAACCCAACTCTCCAAGCAATCTAGTAGAATTATCTCATGTAGCATCAAATTAAATAATTCCAGTATTTCTAATAATTAAATTTCCGTCTTCTTTCAAGTAATAACAGCAATTGCAGTAAAAATTTCAGGACTATACTGAGAAAAAGTATATTTAAATCTTCAAATTAATTTTTCTTCCTGTCCTTCAAGTGGCTTCTCAATAGCATCCAGATAAAGTCAAAGCACATATATTAAAATGTTTAACTTAATAACGTATATAACTTAATTTTTAACCTTCCACTAATAGAATTTTGCATCAACCATTACTATTACTCAGTATGAAAATGTGACTGGCATGATCTGACAGGCAGCATGCAACGAGAGCAGAAAGTGACCTTGAACAGCAGTGTATAAAAATACATTTATCACCGAAATGGCATGCCGGCTGTCAGTCAATATATGCTTCTCATTTGTTAGGAGGTTCTCCTGCTGTGATTCCCTCATTACAATTTGCTTTTACTTCCTGGGCAAATGACAACCAGAAAATGAGGCAGCTTCTTTCTTGACCGAACTTAATCCAGAAAAAATGAGATGACAGCTGCACCCATCCAAGTGTTACAGGATGGTTGAGAAACGGTTCCGAAATGTGCAGCCTGACCATTTCACCGCCTCTGTAGAAGAGCCCAGAGCGAGCCTTGCATCCCCTGAAACCGTGACTGTGATCAGCACGTGCACGGGGCTCCCCCAGATCCATCCAGCCCCCTCCCCGAACACCCAGATAACCGCAAACACCGCGTTTCTGCTCTCACTTCAGGAATGTTCTCAATTCAAGAGTTTCATGTGGCACCATCAAACCCCACAGGGCACGCTGTGAAACCAATGCCATGGTGGTTTCACGAGAGGTTGGTGGTAATGCAGTAGCATCTCAGAGCATTTGCATGAGGATGTGTCAGATCCCTCAGCATTGTTATTGAAATTTTTATCTCCATGGCGATTGTTCTTGTAAAAGAGCTTTCAACAGCTCAGCGGCTGTACTTTATGCTGTAACTTCCAGGAAAACAATTTTACATAAGAATTCTGATTATGCTCAGAATACCAATGAAAAGGGGAGAAAAAAATGCTTAATATTTTCTCCAGGTTCATACTGTTTTGTGAGATGAAACATTATTATTTTAAATCCTTACTTCAAAGAGGTATATTATCAATTACAAGCAGTCTGTGTAAAAAAAATACAAAATATAGATAGGAACCTAGAAGAAAAGAGATTATACTGGCCAAATACCAGGCCTCTTGACTTGCACAGCTCGCTGCTGTGAAGCCCTGTAGTTTTGGATCTCGAACCACAAGTCCCTCAAGGCTGAGGCTCAATAGACGCGAGGAAGTTTGGGCTGACGTCCCAGTGCCAGAGAGCACTTCACACGGAGAAAAAATTCCTATTCGAGCAGCTGTCACTAGGTTTTCGAGCAGGCACGATGTTCCCATAAATCCCCCACTCGTTCTAGTCACAGTGCTCCTTGCTAAGGCACCGTTGGGCTGAAATATCTTCTGGAGCCCTGCTAACGATGGGACCTGGGGCTCGGCACGCAGTGCTTGTCCTTAAACAGCTCGGTTAGGATGTGCCTCTCCCCTTCCAGCTCCACTCAGCGAAGTTTTACAGAGAACTGCTTAGATATCACATTCATATTTGGAGCGCTGCAATATTTGTAACCTTTGACTTCACAGCCTTCAATGCACTCGCAGAGCACACAAATCCATAGTTCCCAAGTGACCTGAGACTTTTGTTTAAAGTGTTCAGCAACTCAAATGGAGTAGGAAAAGCTAACAAGATCAGCATATCCTGCCAAAACGCTAGGGTCTGGGGACTTAATTATCCTTCCAGAAGTGCCTTCTGCCATGCAGAGTCTGAGGAAAAAAGGAACTCGCACCAGGATTTCTGAAAGCAGCCTTCTGATTCTTGCTGCTCCTCACTCTAATTTTCTGACCGTGTTTCCAGATCTTTATCAGTTCCTGGGCAAATTGCAACCTATTGCAGAGCTCTGGGAAGCTGCTTTCGTTCCATCTTTACCATTCTCATTTTCTTCCAGAGTCAAAAGCGTTAAAATCAAGATTCTCAAAACAAGTGGAAATTTGGAAGGTCATGTCTAGATTGGAGAAAGAGGTCAGTTAAAAAATGGGTTTGCAACATGATATTAAACAGTTCCGTGTATCTACTGTGAGTCATGTTTAAATATGTGCTTGCTGGTCACAGGCAACCCTAAATGGGGAAACCTCAGTTTGACCATGACCATTTAATGCATTTTGAGCATTTCTTGCCCTCCTGCTACTAGCTGCAAAGTCCTGGCTGCAGACTTTGTTAAAACACACGTA